CCCACTTCCCCATCCTCCTGCCCTGGACCCCCCATTCCCCCTGCACCTGCCCTGGACCCCGATATCCTCCTGGACCCCGATATCCCCCCAGGGGAGATGCTCAACCACCACCCAGCCCTCCCTCTGCTGGACGAGTCAAGTGTCAATAGGTGGAGAGTCTCTTCCTCAGCCTCAGGTGGCGCGTGGGCTCGCTCTGTTTCAGAAAAGTTGTGGACAAACTGGAGAAAGTCCAGAGAAGAGCCCCCCAAATGATTAAAAGGCCTTAGAAAAACATGGCCTGTGAGGCAAGATTTGAAAATTAAAAAAAAAAAGGAGGGGTTGTTTAGTCTGGAAAAAGAGACGACTGAGAGGGGCCATAACTGTGTTCAAGAACATAAAAGATTGTTAAGGAGGAGGAGGGAGAAAATAGTCTCTTGAATCTCTGGCTGCGTCTAGACTGGCATGATTTTGTGGAAATACTTTTAATGGAAAAGTTTTTCTGTTAAAAGTATTGCTGCAAAAGAGTGTCTAGATTGGCACGGATGCTTTTGCGCAAAAGCATCCGTGCCCAGTGTAGACGTGCTTTTGCGAAAGAAAGCTCCGATGGCCCTTTTAGCCATCGGGCTTTCTTGCACAAGAAATTAAGGTGCCTGTCTACACTGGCCCTCTTGCTCAAGTATTCTTGCGCAAGTGAGCTTATCCCTGAGCGGGAGCGTCAGAGTATTTGCGCAAGAAGCCCTGATTTCTTACAGTAGAACGTCAGTGCTCTTGCGCAAATTCAAGCCAGGTTTTTGTGCAAAAGTAGCCGCTTTTGCACAAAATCTTGCCAGTCTAGACGCACCCTTGGAGTATACCTAGGACAAGAAGCAATGGCTTAAATTGCAGCAAGGTAGGTGTGGTTTGGACATTAGGAAAAACCTCGTATCTGTCAGGTCGGTCAAGCATTGGAATAAATTGCCTAGGAGGTCGTGGAATCTCCATCATTGGAGATTTTTAAGAGCAGATTAGACAAACATTGTTAGGAATAGTCTAGAACTGGGGTGTCCAACACATTAGCCGCTAGCCACATCTGGCTATTTGGCTTGAACAATTGGCTATATGGCTGGTTGAGTGTGGCTAGCTTGCTATAGCAGTAGCCACTATAGTGACTACTGCTTCGGAACTGGTTGGACAGGTCTAGAAAATACTTAGTCCTGCCATGAGTGCAGGAGCCTAGACTAGAAGCACCGGCTTCCACCTGCTTCCCGTGATGCTGACCCTGTGGGGGGGGGCAGGTGCCTCCATGGGAATTGGCATTTATAAGCCAGCTCCCCATGGGCACCATCTCTAGCCTCCCCTTCTCTCACTGCCTCTCATACAGAAGCAGCAAGGGGTAGAGGGGTTGTGTGTAGTCTTTTGGATTAACCGATAAGCCTAGGTTTATTGGTTAATCTTTTAAACAGCTATACCGAAACATCCCTAGTCCCTTCCAGTCCTACGATTCTGTGATTATTTTAAGCGTGTCTTCAAAGGAATAGTAATTAAAAGTGTGATCAGAGCTGGAAAGCACAAGCAAGCCTGACCACAGTAAACCTGTACACATCTAATAACATCCCATTTTCAAGAATGCTGCTTGTGTAGGGTTTAAAGCTTTCTGGTTAAAAATGTACTGTAGAAAGTACCTTAGGATAGAAACCTATCAATTGCTGCGCACTGTACACATCAGTTGGAAAAAGCACATGAAATGTGTGATGTCTGTTTACTTAGGCTTAAGTTTTCTGGCTTCTTTCCTGCCTTAGGTGTCAGGTTCTACTTCAGTGATTTCCCCCTGAAGATCAGGTTATCTGTGTATGAGCCAAAAACATCTTGAAAGCCCCCTAGCTCTGTGATTGAAGCTTCTTCAGGGATAGCTACACCCAAAATGACACATCACCTGAAATTTATTGCCAGAACAGTGATGGTCCAGAATGGGAATGTGGATGCTGCTTACAGGACACTAAACAGGTAAATGTTAACAGCTGTCAGACTCCACTTCAGAAGTGGCTGCATTTTATTGATCAGCAAAGCGAGTCCCCTGTGGATCCATGCTATTTGTTTGTGGCAAATACTGTTCGTCTTGCTTCTGGTTATTTTCATTCAGATACATTGTGATTTGTTTTTTTTTGGCATATTGTCAAAGCAAAGAAACACTTGAGCAAATCACATTCTCAATCACTGCTTGGGGAAAGAGAGATTTCTAACCAATAGTAATAGTTTTAATTGTGTGTGGCCTAGGGGTTAGAGCAGTGGCCTGAGGAGGGGGGTCAGGAATCTGGATTCTGTTCTTGCTTCTGTCATTGAGTGACTGTGATCAAAGGGGTTGGGGACACATGAGAACACAGAAAAATTAGAGGGGCCATTTGACAAGCTCTGGTAAATGTGAATTTTCTGTTCACTGACTTTAAACTGCAGCAGAGGGACTACTAGGTGGCTTTAAAGAGCTATGATCCAGCTAGAACAGCCCCTCTATCTAGACTATCTTGTCTTTGTTGCACTGTGAGAGCAGCCTCTGAAACAAGCTGGCTGGGGTTGGGCATGAGCAACCCCAAGCATAGGGAAGAACTCATTAATCCTGGAAAGAAATGACACATTCAGTGAAACCGAGTTCAGCAAATCTGGGTTCGTGATGGATGGGAAATGCACAAAGCAACCACAGTCTCACAGCTTTACTAACGTTTTCATTGTATCACAGGAAAATGAATGTCCGCACCCTGTGTTAATTAAAATCACTACATTTAATCTGTATTACTTTACATTTCAAGGGGGGAAAGGTAAAATTTAGCATAGAATAAAGCTAGTCAGCCTGTGAAAGGATGAATGTTTCTCCTTAATCATCTGAAGGGAGACATAAAAAACACGTACATGTATTTAAAGGGTGTAGATGCCAATGAGAGGACGGTCTAGTTTATAGCAGCACAAAAAGGGTTATAGCTAGAAAATTAGGATGACAAGTTAAGGGAACATGGGCTGAATAATAAGAAGTATTTACGAATACTGTTCCTGGGCTCTGTGGTCTAGGAGCATCTGTGGTCTGGTTGCCAGACCAGGGAGTCCTGGTTAAGGGAGGTACAATCGTTACTGTGAAGCAGCATTTGTCTTACTATAGGTCTAGCATGTGCTAGGATGCCTTTTTTGAAACACGGTAAGGTGTTAAGGATAATACTCATCAGAACCGGATGAGGTCTTAGTTCAGTGGCATGTTAGCATTCATCTTCTTCTGTCTTAGGGAAAAAATATTCATTTATACCAGGCCTTTTCATTTCAAGATAAATTGTCAAGCCTTGTAGCTGGGCCATGTTTAGAATGTGTCTTTTTCACTTCCTTTCTCTTATTCTTTTGTGGCCACCGTTTGATTCTTTCAGGTTAATGTGAGTTCATTGGGCAGTGTTCTATAGTGTGGGTATGTAGATTTCCATCCATCAGAGAGGAGACAGCCTGGTCTATGTGATTTACAGTGTAAGCTTCTAGGGAAGTTTTCTGTGTGTGCACTGCCAAATATATTGTCTGAGCTCAATAAATAACAGTCCTGAGCATAGGAGTCAGGGACTGATTTCTGGCTTTGACGAGGATTCCCTCACTGGTTGAGAGTCAAGATCTGTGTTTCTCCATCTGCAAAATGTAAATACTGTAATTCCCTTCTGTAGATCAATGAGCCTAGGCATGTTAATGGTTAACCGGTAAGCATGAGACTTATCAGGCTTACTGGTTAACCGGCCCTTGCCAGTTAACTCTAGCAGTGGCCAGCTGTGCCAGGCTGGAGTAAGTCTGGCTACAGCAGGGCTGGTGGGCCAGGCGGCGGGACCTCCCAGCTGTGGCGGGGCGAGCAGTGGGATGCCATTGCCATGGCAGCCTAGGATATAACCAGTTAAGTGCGATTGTTTAACCGGTTAGCGGTTAGTGCGATTGTTTAACATCTGTAATGTCTGCAAATGTAAATGCTGCGTTTTAACATCTGTAATGTCTGCAAATGTAAATGCTGCATAATAATAATTATGGATGTAAAGGACTAGTCGACTCTCCGATTCCCCCACCCTTGCTTCCTCTATCAGATAGAGGCAGCAAGGAGGGGGAAGAAGGGGTACTTCAAAGCGGCAGCCCGGCATTTCCACGGAACCCGGGATCAGCTGGGGACTCCTTTGGTATATATGGTTGTGACTATTTTCTTCCACTATTTGATCTGAGGAAGTGGGTCTGGCCCACGAAAGCTCATCATCTAATAAACCATCTTGTTAGTCTTTAAAGTGCTACATTGTAGTGCATTTTGCTTCAACGTTACAGTGATTCTTCTTCAGTCTTGTGATCATACTGACCTCTGCTGGTGTGGGTGCTAAAAATCTACAAGAGCAGTATGTTTTCTGTTAGCTCATGTCTCTCATTGTGACATTGATTCAAACACTGGCAACAGGCCTCAGCTTCTATTAAGTACTTTGATCTCCTAGTGCTGGAAGGCAGGAGTTACAACTAAAATTGTGATTTCTTGCACATTGTTATGTCTGTGTGTGTGTTTGGAGGGGGATTAGGTCCTCTGTGGTGTTCCCCTTCCAGCTGATAACAACACTATCTTTGGAAAAGTACTTCATTTACTTGGAGGTGGCTTTGAGATCAGTTTTGCATCATCATAAAGAAATTTAGAAATGATAGCTGCTTTTATTTCAAGGCACGTTATAACCTTCATTTCTCCTGGCTATACCCTGTTCTGCAGTATACTGTGTATTCATGATTGGCCCTCTTCACCTCAGAGCTGGCTGCTTTTCAGGGGCATGTTCCTAAATATTAAAGTATTTTGTTTGTCTCCCCCTTAGTCTTGATTTTCTAACTAACTCCCATTCCCAGGTGATGTGAAACTGATAACTTTGCTGAAGTGTGGAGCTTGATTACACTAGGTCAGGGGTGGGCAATCATTTTTTTTATGGGAGCCACTCGAAGATCTTGGTAAGTGTGTATTGAGGGGGTGTGGGACTTGGGATGGAGGAGGGATGCAGAAGGAAACTCAGGATAGAGAATTGGGGGTGTAGAAGAGAGTGTAGGGTCTGAGAGGAAGTTTGGGTGAAGGAGGAGGTTGTGATCTGGGGCAGGAAATTGGGGTGCAAGGTCAAAGAGGGGGTATGGGTGAATGAGAGGATTTTGACCTGGGGGAGGGGTGCCAAAGGGGATGCAGAGGGTTATGACTTGGGCAGGAGGCTAGGGTGCAGGATCTGGGAGGGGGTATGAGTGCAAGAGAGGATTCTGGCCTGGGGGACAGGTCTAGGATGGAATGCAGGGTCTGGGAGGGAGTTGTGACCTGGGGTTCAGAGTAGGGATGTAAAATCCTGATTAATCAGTGAAGGGGTTAAATGTTAGGATAAACTAATATTTAACTGGTTAACCGACTAAGTGGGATCCTGGGCAGGGTACCTCTTCAGCCTGACACTGGAGCAGCCCTCAGTCTGTGGGGATCCCACTCCAAGCCCTGTGGGGGCCTGGCTACCAGCTCCCAGTCCTAGCTCTGTGTGGGGCTGGCTGCCGGCCCTGGCCACAGCTGTGCAGGATGGGTTGGTGACCCTATGCAGGAACTTGATGGGGCTGGAGCAGCAGTCTGCTGACGGGGGGCTTCTTCCAGGTAACCGTTACTCAGTAAGCGTCACCCGGTAAGGATGATGCTTACCAGATAACTGGTTAACTGTTCACATCCCTAGTACAGTGGGTTTGGATGGTGACCTGGAGCGGGTGGGAGGAGGGAACCTGGGGCAGGGAGTTGGCGTGCAGGAGGGAATGGGGTACCAGAGGCAGGCTTTGGCTGGGAGATGCTCAGCTTAGATGTCTCCCAGACACCAGCTTGGCAGGCACCTCAGGCAGGTTCCCTTCCTATCACAGCTCAGCTGCCACGTGTCTCTCTGTGCTGTGCGCTGTGGGAGACTTCGTGCACTGTCCCTGCCCCAGCACAATCATTACAGCTCCTATTGTGCCTGGGACGGGGGCAGCACGCAAAGTCTTCTCTCCCCCCTTCACCCTTCCAAGGAACATGAGGCACCTAGAGGTACATGGCCCCAGCAGCTGGCCACTTTGAAAGGTCTGGAGCTGTGGCAGGCAGGGAGCTTGCTTGAAGGTCCTGGGGACCGGATCTTGCGCTAGAGTCACGGAAGTGGTGTTTAAAACCATGGTATGGCTCTGCACAATCACTTCTTTATCCCTTATAGAACAATCTTTGCAAAGCCGTGCTCTTCAAACCAATGTATACATGGTGCCATATAGGTGCTCCGTGCTGCACTGTCCTTGGACTGCTGAGCCAGTGCCACATGGTGGATGTCAGGCATAACTAGGTTGGAGCTGGCTGACCATGGCTAGAGGGGACCTCATTACCAGTTGTAGTTAGAAGCATTCAGCACTAATTGGCTCATTTAAAAAACATATTTGCAGGTCATCATCGGGCCCTCAGATTTTTAACTGCGTCCCTTTTTAACAGCACTATCCACAGTGCGTGGCTTTGTATTTCTTCTCCCATTACTGTGACCAGCAGTTTTGCAGATCATAGTTGTTGGTTTAAATATAGATTGGACTGCAGTTACACCATAAGTGTCTGTTCAGAACCGTACAAAGGGCAACACGTTTTTAAAATGCTTGTGCAGCTGGTGAGCCGAACATGTGCATCTCCTAGCCCTTGCCCGTGGGACTGTAATTGAACGCATGTGGTTGCATAACAAGTGCGTGATGCAGAAAAACTTGCTGCCTTCAGATTTGCTGTTCTTTTGTGACGAGGAGGAGAGCTAGAAACAACTGAGCGGTATCTCATTGGATGCTGAACACTTGTGGGTGGGTTTTTCAGTCCATTCACGACTATTTATCTTACACACGTTATCTGCTGACATGCAGGCTGCGTGCATTGCCATGTGAATGCTACTCTATTAAGGCTTCTATTCAAATCTGAACTTTGTTAAAGAGAAACTGTCATATTATTAAACAGGACTGTGTAGCATAGTAAGTTTTTTGTTTTAGCTGCACCAGACTAACACGGCTACATTTCTACCACTGTCATATTATTAAGTATTCTTTAAAAAACAGATTTCTGGATTTGCGATGCCAGCAGTACTTTAGACTCGGTTACCTCAAAAATAATTATGTTTTAAAAATCTAACTTACCTCTCATTGTTTTTTACTGTGATGAAGCGGGGTGTTTGGTTTTTGTTTTTGTTTTTTTGGGGGCGGGGTGTTTTTTTTTGTTTGTTTTTTTGGACACTTCATTTTGTTTGGGTAAGAAAATGACAATTAATTTCACATTTTTCTGGATAGTTTTATTTTTTGATTCTCATGCCTTGTCAGAGAGGCTGTAGTGTTTGAGTTCCCAATGCTGACAGGAAATGTTTAATCTCAATAAAAAACAGTTTTAATTGATTTTTTTAATAATGTAATTAAAACTCTGTTAATAATCAGGTTTGTAAAACTCTTTCTTTACACTCCCTAAATTGCAGGCCTAAACTACCATAATTGACAGTGTCTCTCTTTTGAAAAGCAGAAGCCCCACAGGGAGAAGCCCCCATCCTCCCTGTGAGGCTTCTAATAAAATAAAATATGTATTATATGGAGATATGCCTATCTCATAGAACTGGAAAGGACCTTGGGAGGTCATCGAGTCCAGTCCCCTGCCCTCACGGCAGGACCAAGCACCATCCCTGCTTTTGAACTGTAACAAGAGCCCGGCAGGACTCTTGCTACAGTTGAAAGGAGGCGGCGCCCTTATAGACTAATTGCATAGTTGATGGAAATCCCATCAATTACTCGATTAGTTAATTAATCTAAATTTAACATCCCTAACTGTATTACGGGCAGGTCAGTCATCACGACAGCAAATTGCTAAATCCGTATAAGCTCTGTATTAGCCCTCGATGTTCTTTTCTGTTTGTCATTCTATGGAGTGATAAGAAATTCCTAAGTAGACAAATGAAGTATTTTATATGATCGGGCAGCTAAATAGCAGTTTTGTCCATGTAGCAGTGAAACTCCCCTATTTTGCCTTCTGATTTTCTTTAATCCTGAAGAGTAAAGAGGAAAAAAAAGACAGCTGGGAAGATCAACTTAAGAGGAAGATTAAGGCCCTGTCTGTGTTTTCAGAATAGCCATGTCTAAGCATGGTTGTAATCAAACAGTGTGAGAACATGATATAGATGAGAACATGTTGTGAACATGGTAGAAGCCTCCTTGCTTAGCATGTTGTAAAATTGGACTTCCAAACTGCTAGGCTGAGTGATTGGCCTCAGCCTAAAGATGGACCTTCTCTTATTGCTATTGAGATCTAAGCCTTCTATTGAGATTGATGCCTGTCTTTGACTCACTGTGATGACAGATACATTCCTCTAGTGCCTGAAGGAGTCTCTATGCTCCTATAGAACAATTAAAAAAAACCATCTCCCCATGCAGACTGCCTGCCTGCTACCCCACACTGCTGTCTGATACAGACGCAGCAGTGCGGGGTGGCAGCAACCCCTGTCCTCGGGTCTGAGCTCCCTATGGACAGAGGCTGCTGCGGGGAGGCTGCCAAGGAGCAGCCTGTGTGCATGGCAGCCCATGTCAATGAGCTATAGCTGTGCAGTTTAAATGTAGTAAGAGCCAGGCGCACAGGCAGCCTGGCTCCTGCCACATTAAAACTGCAGAGCTGCACTGGGGGTAGGTCCAGGGTAGGTCCCCCACTGTGGCTCTGTCTTTTAAGTGTAGTAAGAGCCAGGCAGCTCTCAATACCCTTAAAAAGCAGAGCCGCAGCAGTCTGGGATAGAGGCGGGAGAGGTGGAGCGAGTAGTCAAGTAGTGACTCGACTACCCACAATACCCTTAAAAAGCAGAGCCGCAGCAGTCTGGGATAGAGGCGGGAGAGGTGGAGCGAGTAGTCAAGTAGTGACTCGACTACCCAAGTAGTCACTTACATCCCTACTTCGAATACAGCGCTGCAATGGCACAGGTACCTCAGTGCAGCTGTAGTGCTTTAGTGAAGATGCTACTATGCTGATGGAAAAGCTTCTCCAGTTAGAGGAGTTAATCCACCTCTGTGAGAAGCGGTAGCTAGATCAGCAGGAGATGCTCTCCCATTGACTAAACACAGTCTATACAGGGAGGCGAGGTTAGATTGATATTACTTATATTGTTCTGACATTGTGGATTTTTCATACCCCTGAGCAATGGACTTATATCAATATAAGTTTTTAGTGTAGGCTGGTCCTGATTTTGTTCCTACATGCCTGTGCTATTCTTTTGTACTCCTTCTTAGCAACTTGTCTCCACTTCTGGCAGTCAGGAAACGTAGTTCCCAGTTCTTAACTCTTATTCTGTTAAAAGATGTGGGAAACGATTGAAAGCCACTACCTGAACTTTGGTAGTAGTCCCATTGTAAGAGAAGGGGAATGAAAGTTGACATGGCAAGTAACGCTACTGAAGGGCACTGCTCAGTATGGGGAAAGACAGAGTCCTGCTTGTTTATAACGGACAGCTTGGCCACAGTTATGTCGTTCAGACCGTTTCCATGAATAACTTTGCAGAGGAATGCAGCTGAAACAGATTGCTTGCATTCAGTGACATGTATGGAAAGCAGCCTTATTGAGGTCTTCATGTAGCTGAGTTTGTTTACTTATAAAATGCGTCATGTTGTGGGTAAAAGGTTCCTCAACTCTGTGGTGATGCAATGGGAGTCTATTGCCTGCAGTAATGTCTAGATGAGACTTCCATGTACCTTCCCTAATCTCTGCACCACTGTCCTCTTCTGAATAGCACGTCTGAGCCTGCAGCCTATAGAGAGGAGAGCGTGGAGGAAGCTGCCACAGTCCTACTAATCCATTTTTCTCACAGCTACCAGATAGTTTAATAGCAACGTTTTAAAGGGATTTGATTTTCCTCCATCTATTTCTCAATGTGCCAAGCGCAGCAACATAGAAGACAAACCCCAAAATGAGGCCCAGGGAATAACGTTTTATATCGGGAACGTGAAAATTATGGGGGGCGGGATTTCTCTAGCTGAAGTCTCCCTTTGTTTTCTCACTTGATGTTTCTGACATTAATGATTTATAGAAATAAACAGTTTAGAACACATCAGGGTTGCAGACAAATCTGAATCTGGAAAAGGAGCATCATCTGCAATGAGAGGCAGTTGGGAAGGGTTACTTTTGTCGCTGTTTAATAAATTATGCCTACTGTGCTGAAATCCTCTATTGGTGCCATTCGTTGGGAGGGAGTGTGGATAAATGTTTGGAGCAGAGGGCGGAAAGATGGGACTTCTAGATTCTATTCCCGCTGTCCTGTGTGGACAATTGACTTCACGGTATGTAGACTTAACAAATGAATATTTGTTAAAATCTTTGTTGTGCTCAAATGTAAGGCCGTAGAGGAATTCAAAATGACATTGATTAATCTCCTCAGAATTCTAACGATGGATGGGATCATTGAAGATGCCAGACGGCGCCGGTACTATGAGAAACCATGTCGCAAGAGGCAGCGGGAGACCTATGAGACATGCCGGCGGATTTATAATGCAGAAATGGCCAGGAAGATTGGCTTTCTAATGAGGAAGAATCGACCGGACCCCTGGCTAGGCTCTTAGATCCCAAGAATTACAATAGCTGGGAAAACTGTAACTTCTTTTTAAAACAAACAAGCAAACATAAAACAAAACCCACACCACTGTCATAGCTGATCTCTTCGTTGCTAGTGTCAACTGAGAGGCCAATGAGCGAATGGGCCATGGAGACTGAATTCTCTTCTCCACCAGGGCAGGATTGAAGACCATCATACCATCAAATCTCTCAGCTTCTGAACAATTACTATGTTGTGCCTATCTGTTAATAAAAGTATGCATTTTAGCATGTTGTCCTGCTGTTCTTGGGTGACAGACATAAGCAAACTATATTAATTCAGGTTTTAATATATTTCCTTTTATGAATGATTCCTTTAAATAGTGCTTGCTGCTCATTATAATTAGACCTCTGCAAATCCACAGATATTTGTGGCCTGTTTTTTTGGATTGTGAATGGATACAGATCCAAATGTTGTATCCCTGCCGGGCTCTAATTATAATCTCTTACTTGTCAGAGTTTGTGAAAAAAGTGGAAAAAACCTGAGTTAGGTTTGATTTATTCCAGAATAAAGATGCTCACAAATATTTTCATTCACCTTCCCTTTATTTTACGCTTGATTGGCAGCAAATAATGTGGATTCTGGAATTCATATACATCATTTGCAAATTATTTTTAAGACTGTAGGGGCTCACAGCCTTAATTTTATTTATACTGCAGTTCCATTATTCAGCTCTGTAGCGTTAAGAAGCCTTAAAGTGAATGCAAACATATCTATGTCCACTTCGAGGTCCTTTTACATTGCCAAATTGAAAGTAAAAAACTAAAATAAGTCCTTAGATTCCTGGGTGAATAATTCTGCTTCTGTTGTGTTTTACCTTAGTTTTTTTTAGTGGAGTTTCCACTTAATAATCTCCAATTTTTATTAAAGTTCCTCTTAAACAATCATGTGGGGAAATATTGACATTACCACTGCAGATACAATTTTCACACCCTCCTGTCCCTGTGTCTGGAAATGCTTTCCTCCAGGCAATCTTGTTTCTCACATAGCCATGCTTTTTCTGACAGTTTTACGCATGTGTAGTATCTTATAACACCCTTTACTGTTCATTGTGCGCCATTTTCCACAATTCCCTGTTGTATAAAAATACACAGTAGTTGATCCACCTAATATTAGTTGTCTCCCATGGAAAAACAAAAGGCTTGTCTCCAAGAACCCATCTGAGGCCCTCAAATTTTCAGTGTGGAAAGTATTTAAGTTCTGTTTAAATATCCTTTAATGTGATTTGGCAGCTAGAAATAAGCCAATCCTATGCGACTTAAGTCCTTTGTGGAGTACAGTCAGAGATCCCTTTTACAGAGGCTATGTTTGGATAGCAGTATACAGGCAGTCCCCGACTTACGCGGATCCGACTTATGTCGGATCCGCACTTACGAACGCGGCTTTTCTCACCCCGGAGCTCGCGGGCGGTGGGACCGCCCAGAGCGCAGCGGTCCCGCCACCGCGTCCTCCGGGGCAAGAAAAGCTGCTCCGGGTCTCCCTGGTGTGCTGGGGGGGACTCCACCACGATGGAGTTCTGGCACATTCTGTGATGTGGTAACTGCAGGTGTCAGGTGTACAGAGTGCACTGCACTGACATTTTGGCATGGTGCAATGACATTCTCATCTCCTGCTGCTTGGGGAAGAGACATGGCCAAGAAGACCACAGAAGAAATAAGAAGGTGATTTGATTGATAGCACAACACAGCAAAGTGCTGATTTCACCCAATCCATATCTATCTGGTGCCATGAGGGCAGGCTTCTACCAAACCCCCCGTCTTCTCCTATATGTGTCTGCCTCAGGGGGAAGCTAGAGATCACGAATTCAGCTCAGCCCTGCCTCACTCTCTTCCCCTCCCTACTTAGCCCTGGCAAAAGCTGGGTGCCAGCATCCAATCCTTTGCCCTTTACCTCTTGAATTTGGCTCTTGGAGGGCAATGGGGCCAGGACCCCAGCCCCTTTGAATCCCCCAACCTCCGGCTCCTGGCTGGGCGGGGGAGGGAGCTAGCTTGTGCCATGAACCCAGCCCCCCTGGATCTTCTGCCCCCGGGGGGGGCGGGGCAGGACCCCAGCTGTCCTGGCCCCGCCCACCTCTACCTCCGCGCACCCACGCTACTGCCCAGGCACTAGAGCACGAACGGCATGTGACGTAACACAACTTCCGTTGCTTCCCCCTCTCCTCACCCCTGTCACGTGATACGTGAGCCGCGGGGCTCAGGAGCACGGGGGAGGCGTGTCTCCTCCGTCACG